TGCTGGGATGCCTCTCGTTCTGTACTGCACCCCTTTCTCGTTAATCCTTCAAGGTACCTGGGCTACTGGACTGCTGCCCCCTGTTTTTCTTCTAGTTCATAGAAACAATCAATAACTTCATTCAAGACAATGATAATAACAAGACTATATACCAAAACTTATGGGATACAGCGAAAGCAGTTCTTAGGGGAAGTTTTATGTCTCTCAATGCTTACATGAATAAAATAGAAAAAGAGATCAATGAACTGGGCATACAACTAAAAAAACTAGAAAAAGAACAAATTAAAAATCCTCAATTAAACACCAAATTAGAAATACTGAAAACCAAAGGAGAAATTAAGAAAATTGAAATTAAGAAAACTATTGAACTAATAAATAAAAGTAAGAGCTGGTTTTATGAAAAAACCAATAAAATAGATAAATCTTTGGTTAATTTAATTTAAAAAAAAAAAAGAAAGAAGAAAACCAAATTACCAATAGCAAAAATGAAAAGGGTGAATCCACCACCAAGGAAGAGGAAATTAAAACAATAATTAGGAACTATTTTGTCCAACTGTATGCCAGTAAATTTGACAATGTTAGTGAAATGGATAAATATTTACAAAAATGTAAATTGCCCAGATTAACAGAAGAGGAAGTAAAATACTTAAATAACCACACCTCAGAAAAAGAAATTGAACAAGTCAATGATTAACTCCCTAGGAAAAAATCTCCAGGGCCAGATGGATTTACAAGTGAATTCTATCATGATAACATTTAAAGAACAATTAATTCCAATATTATATAGACTATTTGGGAAAATAGGTGAAGAAGGAGTCTTACCAAATTCTTTTTATGATACAAATATGGTGCTGATACCTAAACCAGGAAGAGTCAAAACAGAGAAAGAAAATTATAGACCAATTTCCCTAATGAATATAGATGCAAAAATTTTAAATAAAATATTAGCAAATAGATTACAGCAACTTATCACAAGAATAATACTATGACCAGGTAGGATTTATACCAGGAATACAGGGCTGGTTCAATATTAGGAGAACTATCAGTACAATTGATCATATCAACAACAAAACTAACAGAAACCACATGATCATCTCAACAGATGCAGAAAAAGCTTTTGACAAAATACAACACCCATTCCTATTAAAAACACTAGAGAGCATAGGAATAAATGGAGCCTTCCTTAAAATAATAAGTAGCATCTACATAAAACCTTCAGCAAACATCATATGTAATGGGAATACTCTAGAAACATTTCCAATAAGATCAGGGGTGAAACAAGGATGTCCATTATCACCACTGTTGTTCAATATCAGACTAGAAACATTAGCTTTAGCAATAAGAGAAGAAAAAGAAATTGAAGGTATTGGAATAGGCAAAGAAGAAACAAAGCTATCCCTCTTTGCAGATGACATGATGATATACGTAGAGAATCCTAGAGAATCAAGTGAAAAACTACTTGAAATAATAAACAACTTTAGCAAAGTTGCAGGCTATAAAATAAACCCACATCGGCCTTTCTATATATTACCAACAAAGCCCAACAGCAAGAGATAGAAAGAGAAATTCCATTTAAAGTTACTGTAGACATTATAAAATATTTAGGAGTCTACCTCCTGAAAAAACCCCAGGAACTATATGAACACAATTACAAAACACTTTTCACACAAATAAAGTCAGATCTAAATAATTGGAAAAACATCAGTTGCTCATGGGTAGGCCAAGTTAATATAATAAAAATGACAATTCAGTGCCATACCAATCAAACTATCAAAAAATTATTTTATAGAGCTAGAAAGAATAATAAGATTCATTTGGAATAACAAAAGGTCCAGAATATCAAGGGAATAATGAAAAGAAATGCAGGGGAAAGTGGCCTAGCCATTCCAGATCTTAAATTGTATTATAAAGCAGCAATCATCAAAACTGTCTGGTATTGGTTAAGAAACAGAGTGGTGGATCAGTGGAATAGGTAAATATGAAAGACATGGTAGTCAATGACTACAGTAATCTATTATTTGATAAACCCAAAGACCCCAGCTTCTGGAATAAGAACTCACTCTTTGACAAAAACTACTGGAAAAACTAGAAAAGAGTGTGGCAGAAACTAGGCGTAGATCAAAATCTCACACCATATACCAAAATAAACCCAACATGGGTTCATACGATTTAGATATAAAGGCTGATACTGTAAGCAAACTGGGAGAGCAAGGAATAGTTTACCTATCAGATTTATGGAGGACAGAAGAATTCATGACCAAACAGGAGACAGAGAACATTATGAAATGCAAAATGGATAACTTTGATTACATTAAATTGCAAAGTTTTTGCACAAACAAAGCCAACGCAACCAAGATTAGAAGGAAAGTAGAAAATTGGGAAAGAATTTTTATAACCAGAGTCTCTGATAAGGGCCTCATTTCTAAAATATAAAGAGAATTAAGTCAAATTTATAAGAATACAAGTCATTCCACAATTGATAAATGGTCAAAGGATATGAACAGGCAGTTCTCAGATGAAGAAATTAAAGCCATCTATAGTCATATGAAAAAATGCTCTAAATCACTACTTAGAGAAATGCAAATCAAAACAACTCTGAGGTACCACAATCATACCTATCAGATTGGCCAACATGACAAAACAGGAAAATGATAAACATTGGAGAAGATGTGGGAAAAGTTGAACACTAATGCATTGCTGGTGGAGTTGTGAACTGATCCAACCATTTTGGAGAGCAATTTGGAACTATGCCCAAGGGGCATACCATTTGACCCAGCAATAGCACTTCTAGGGTTGTATCCCAAAGAGATCATACAAATGGGAAAATGACCCACATGTACAAAAATATTTATAGCAGCTCTTTTTGTGGTGGCAAAGAACTGGAAATTGAGAGGATGCCCATCACTTGGGGAATGACTGAAGAAGTTGTGGTATATGAATGGTATATGATAAGAAATAATGAGCAGGGGCAGCTAGGTGGCACAGTGGATAGAGCACCAGTCCTAGATTCAGGAGGACCTGAGTTCAAATTCGGCCTCACTTAACACTTACTAGCTGTGTGACCCTGGGCAAGTTACTTAATCCCATTGCCTAGCCCCTTTCCCCCCGCCAAAAAAAATGATGAACAGGCAGACTTCCGAAAAACCTGGAAAGACTTGTATGGTCTGATGCGGAGTGAAGTGAGCGGAACCAGGAGAACATTGTACACAATAACACCCATGTTGTGCGATGACTAACGTTGATAGACTTAGCCCTTCTCAGCAATGCAAGGATCTAAGCCATTTCCAAAGGCCTCATGATGGAAAACGCTATCCATATCCAAAGAAAGAACTATGGAGTTTGAATGCAGATCAAAGCATACTATTTGCTATTTTTTTCCTTCTGTTGTGTTTTGTTTCCTCTTTCTGGTGGTTCCTCCTATTGGTTCTAATTCTTCTCCCAACATCACTAATATGAAAATATGTTTAATAGGAATGTATATGTATAGCCTATATAAGATTGTGCGCCTTCTTGGGAAAGGAGGTGGGGAGGGAGGGGGAAGAGAATTTTAAACTCAAAAGCATATGGAACTGATTGTTGATAAATCAAAATAAATTAATTTTTTAAAAAATGTAAGCTCAAGACCGTGAGGAGTTCAAGTTCTTTTCTTAGGGCAGCAGTGGGGAACCTTTGGCCTCCAGGCCACATGTGGCCCTCTAGGTCTTCGGCCCTTTGATTTAATGCAAACTTCACAGAACAAATCCTTGTGTGTTAAGTCGACTATTCCTGCTTGGTAGAAAAAAAATTTGCTACACTCATTTCCTGTTTTCTTCTACTCACCCAGATCACCAGAACTGATTATTTGGTTCTGAGCCATTCCTATGGTATTTTAAAATTAGGAATTTGCATTGCATTTGGTAAAATAAGCTTTCTGGATGACATTCCGCTTCAGAAGGTCCTTTTTCAAGGGCTGACTTTTCTAAGTGAGAGTCACTGAATGAAGTAAGTTAAAGGGATGGGCCGGCTGCTGCCATTACTAAATGGAATCTTCCTCCTAACAGTTTTCGATGAAACCATAAATACAAATATTCCTGGAAAGGGGAGTGGTGTGTAACACGTTAATTATGCCTGTAATCAGTCATTTTTACATCTGTCCAGGTCAAAGTGTCTAAGCTCAGCCCCGTGGGCTGCATCCCTGGGGCCATGGCCATGACCTCCCTTCAAGGCTCAGCGGGGCGCCCCCCTCCAGGGAGGGGCCTTCCCTGGTCCCCTCCCTCCCCTCCCCCCAGCAGAAGCTTCCCAAGGGCTGGGCTGGTTCCCAAGATCACAGATTCAGGGCTGGAAGGGACCCAAGAGGTCCAACCCCTTCCTGTCACAGAGCAGGAAACTCGGAGGTCGAGCGAGCTGCTCAAGGTCAGCCTCCCGGCCCGGGGGCTCCAAGGTCAGCCCCCCTCCCGGGCGCTCGCTTCATTGCAAGGGCCGTCACGTGCAGGAGGCATCAGGCTCGTTCTGGGGGAAGACCCGGCGAAAGTGCAGCCACGAAGTGAAGCGTTCTACCAATTAGAAAAGCGGGCGCTTCTGTAGGTAGTAAGCTCCCCAACTCTGGAGGGATCCAAGCGGCCATGTGAAGCTCGGAGCAGGGTTGGGTGAACAGTGATCTCTTTGGGTGACCGCCGAGGTCTCCTCTAACTCCGCCCCCGAGTCGCCTCGTGACTCGGTCCCTGCGCTCGCTCGCTTCGGTCTCGGGCCAAGAGAGAGCATGACGCCAGGACCGCCCACGGTCAGGGTTACCTGGCAGTGAGTCCCGGGTCCTCCTTCCCGAGGAGATGCTACCCTTTTTCCGCCCTCAACAATCATGGCGCCCGAAAGGCGGCGCACTTCCGGCGCCGGGGTCACCTACAGCCCAGGCCGGGATGACGGGACCCGGAAGCCGCCCGGCCCCTTCCGGCCTTCGCCCCGCCCTTCCCCGACCGAAGCCTCCTCCCCCTTCCCGTCCCGCCCCGCCCCGCCCCGCCCCCGGCCGGGCCTCGACTTTTCCCGGCCGCTGGACGATGAGGCTTATTGGGATCCGCGCAGCAGCGCCGCTGCGGTTACCGGGTTACGAGTAGGACCGGGCGAGCCGCCGCAGGTCAGGCGCCACCACCGTCCGTCGTCCCCGACCCCTCGTTCCGGGCGCAGGCGCTCTGTGACGGAGCCCCCCGCCGCGGTCCCGGGTGGGAGTGGGGCGGGCGGCCGGGGTGAGGCCCGGCGGGGCTGGCACTCGGTGGGGGGGCAGGTTGGGTGCCTCGGGCCGGCCGTTGGGCCCGCGCCGGCCAGGGGCCGTACCTGGGCTTGGCTCGCTTGATGAACCCCCACCAGGGGCGTCGCGGCGGAATCCTCGGATCCTAGACCGAGAGCTGCGGGAGGCGTTCGAGGCCTCGGGAGTCCCGGGGAGCCGGAGGGGCTTGCCCAAGCTCCCACAGGTATCGAGTGGCAGAGCTGGGATTTGAATCCAGCTCCGCCCCAGGCAGGGACGGGCAGGAGGCTCCCACCCCCTTGGGTTGTATGCATTTTGTGCGAATGCCAAGCTTAACACATAGCTGGCACACAGTAGGCGCTCTATAAATGCTCATTCCCATCTTCAACCCAGGATCATGGGGTGTATGTAGAGTTATTGTTCCCTTTGAGGGTATGGAACAGAGGGTTATTCCTGACCCCTTATGCTGTTTTCTTCGAAAAGATATAGCAGTGGTTGGCCATTTCCTTCGCCAGTGGATTAAGGCAAAACGAGGTTGAGTGACTTGTCCAGAGTCATACAGCTAGTCAGTGTCTGAGGTCAGGTTTGAACTCGGATCTTCCTGACTGCAGGCCAAGTGCTCCATCCACTGAGTCACCTAGCTGCCTTCTGACCTAGGTAGCAGGCACTTAATAATGATCGTTATAACCGGGATTTGTAATGTTTTTTCTAACTCCCTTTACATGCCTCATTCTACCCTCGAAAAAACCTTGGAAAGTTGGGGCTATTATCCTCATTTTACAGATGAGGAATAGCAGACAGGTTAAATAATTCACTAGGTCACACAGCTAGTTAAGTGTTGGGAGGCAGAAACTTAATTTAGATCCTCCTGACTTAGCTATGCTCTTAACAGATGTTTGTTGATTAATTGATTTAAATACTTGCTCTAATGCTTTAACCACCTGATTTACTCTTGGCAAGGCCCTTAACCTCCTTGTCTTTTATCCATAGAGGAGTTTAGTAAACCCCTTTAAACTTTAGACTCTAAACTTTAGAGTAATTGATGTCTTAGATTCCAGTTCTAAATGTGGTTCCAGTTCTAAACCTGAGATGTTTTTCCAGTTCTGAGGATCTGTTCCATCTATTGACTTTGTGCACATGGTCCTCTCCAGCACTTGTAATTCTCTCCTTCCTTACCTAGGTTTAGCTCTTGTGTTACCTTCTATGGGAAGGCTTTCCCTGATCCCATGGGGTTAGTGATACTCTCTCCTTAAATAAATATGAATACATTTATCTGTTTACATGTTCTCCTCTTTCTTCATTCCCTCAGAAAAATGTAAGTTTCATGAGGGCAGGACTACTTTTCCCTTTGAATTCCTTGCATATCCAGGGGTCTTAATAAAAATGCATGTTAGTTGGGGATATTTCTCCTGTAGTAATTCCGTAATCACTTGGGGGTAGTGCTATGTCCTCCAGAACCTCATCTCTTTGTTGAAGGGATTGTGAAGGGCTGTCCAGTTCTAACTTTATCTGTCTCTGTGGTTAATGCTTTTATTCCTCTCTACCCGTGCTCTGCTGCCCAGAGTTAGACTTGAGTGGTAGTGATTTGCCCTTGGTGACTTTTCAGTGGGAAGAAGCCAAGAGAGTCTTTTTACATTCCCTGAAGCAGTTAATGGCCTGGCTTTAAACCTCACTACATTTTTGCCCTGACTGGCCTTGTTTTTTTGGTAGCAAAAATGGATGCCATTTGCCTTCTTGTGTTGCTTCTAGGGCCTAGAAGTAAGACTTTCCAGGCAGGCCCCATCCCCTTTCAGAAACTTTGTGAATAACCGAGTTAAAGTCTCATGTAGTGACTGTATAGTTAAAATGAATTCTTATCTCTATTAAAGGGCTATAGTAGAAAGCTTATGTAAGAATTAGAGCCAACTTGACAAAAATAACTCCCCAGGTTTCTCCAAAACTTCTCTCTAAAAACAAATGTAGTCTTTAAAAAAAGACCTTGACAACTTTTCCCCCATTAGTTCCATTAGGAGAGAAATTAATAGCATTGGAAAGTGATTCTGTTAAAAAAAGTAGAGGACTTTTTGTCTGCCCTAATTTCAGTTAAATTTTTGTAAATTTTGACACAGATTTCCTGATACCCGAAAAAATTAGGGAAATGTTCTCTTGAAGCCTCCATAGCTTAAGGAGAAAAAAAATCGTGGAGCCAGAAAGGAACCTTAAATATTGTCCAGGCTAGTTGGCATCTGCCTAAAATTTCTACTACCCAAAGGTCTTGTTAAACTTATAAACTAAAAAAACAAACCCCATTTTCCTTGTCTTCTAGCTACCTTCCCCCTCCTCTTTCTCTTCCCATACCCAGTCACTTGAGAATCCTCTGTGAGTGTGAAATTTTTGTTGTTTTACTAGTTCACGGTATGGTTTGACCCTGGAAAACAGTGATCAGGTGCGGTCCCTTGTTGGAGCTGAAGAGAATGAGATCTAGAGAGGTGGTGGGGGGGGGACTTGCCCCTCACAGCTCAGGCCTGAGCAGAGCCTGGATGGCAGACCTGCTCTGTTTCCACCTGATTGATATACCATGGTGTCTTAATGAAAAGAAACTGGATATTTTTCATTCCAGTACTACTTTGGGATCTGCTTTTGTAGAGTGCAAAGAGCACTACTGGCTTTGTAATCAGAAGACATGGGTTCAAATCCAGTCACTTACCAATACTTGCTGTGTGGCCATGAGCAAGTCATTTAACTTCCCTGGGCCTAAGTTTTCTCATTTTTAAAATGAGAGAGTTGGACTGGCAGGCCTCCAAGGTTTTATCTAACTCCATACATTGAGTGTTGTGTTCTCAGGGGCTAGCCCAGCAGAATGGAAGCTTCTACAATTCCTCCTGTCAAAGGTGGAAAGGTTACAGATGCATTGTGGGTTGGTTCCAGAGCAAGTTGAACCAGGTTGGCAGAGGCTTGTCACTGGAAGGCCTTGTAACCTAGTCTGCTCAGGGAAGGAGGAGGGAAAACCCACCCACTCCCTCTGATGAAATCCTAGGTCTCCACTGGTATTGAAGTCCAGAAGCAGAGGCACTGTGGAGCACTAATGGCATACAAGGTCTCATTTGTTGACCAGCTCAAGATGGGAATCTATAGACATGGTCCTTCATATTTATTATAAAATTGAAATGAAATGAAACCTGGAACATCAGAGGCAAATCTCTTGTTTTGCAATTCACTTTTGCACTAAAATTTCCCATCATTACTTGGAACTTCAGTAAACTCCAGTGATTCCCTATTTCCTAAGATTAGGCAAGCTGTCAGAAAGCATTTATTTAGCACTTACTTTGTGCCAGAAGCTGTATTAAGCCCTTGTGATGCAAATACAAGCAAAAAGAAAGACCCAATCCTTTGCTCAAGGATATTACAATCTAATAAGGAGTAGAAGGAAGATATGGGGGCAGGTACATGGTCACTACATTCAAAAAGTTCGCCCAAATGAAGGCCAGAGAAGGAACTTGCCAGTGGGGAAAGGGGGCTGGCTAGGGGAAGGGATCTTCCTGAGTGGGAAGGCAGCTTGGGCCTGGTGGCAAAGACTATAGACTCAGAAGCCCCGAACGGGAGGAAGTCAAGCATAGAATCCTGGTTGGCATTTAAAGGTTGTTGTAGCCTGACTTCATCTTACCTTTCTAGCCTTTTTTTTTTTTTTTTTTTTTTTTTAATATACAGTACTCCTTGGTTCAGCCAACTGGCCTTTTCTCTGTTCCTCACACCTGACACTCCAGCTCCCATCTTATACATTTGCTCTGGCTGGTGCCCCGGGCCTGGAATGCTTCCTCACCTCTGCCTCTGAATTCCTTCCTGTAGAAAGCTAGCTTCACTTGGTACCTCCTTTTCCTTTCTTCTCACCATTTCCTTAACTCCCTGCAGTCTGGCTTTTGTCCTCTTCCACTCAGTCAGTAAACATTTATTAAGCATCTGCTATGTGCTAAGTACTGTAAGTGCTGGGATTAAAAGAAAGGTAAAAGACAGCCCCAGCTCTCAAGGAATTTACAATCTAATGGGGAGACAGCATGCAAATAACTGTGTATAAACAAGTTCTATTCAGTATATGTGGGACATAATCAGCAGAGGGAAGGCACTGACATTAAGAGAGATTGGGAAAGGCTTCCTGTAGGTGCAATTTTAAGTAGGACTCAGGTGGCCAGAGAATCTGGGAGACAAAGATGGGAATTCCAGGCAAGAACAGGCAGTGAAAGTCTCCTAAGTCTGGATGTGGTGTGTGACCCTGGGCAAGTCACTTAACCCTGTTTGCCTCGGTTTCTTCTGTAAAATGAGCTGGTAAAGGAAATGGCAAACCACTCCAAGAAAACCCCACATCCAGTCACTTAAGAGTCAGACGTGACTGGAACGACGGAACAACAGCAACAAAACTGGAGATGAAGGGTGTTGTTCAAATAACAGCAAGGAGACTCTAGTGTCGGTGTGTCCCAGGGATCTGGTGGTATGTAAGTTGTGAGAGGGCCAGATTGTGAAGGGCTTTGAATGTCAAACAGAATTTTATTTGATCCTGGAGGTGACTGGAGGTAACAAGGGAGTGACTGGAGTTTATTGAGTTGGAGCTGGGGAATGTTATAGTGAGACTGCACTTTAGGCAGATGAGTGTAACAACTGAGTGCAAGATGGACTGCTGTGGGGACAGACTTGTGGCGACTGTTGTAGGCTTGGCATGATGAGGTCTAGCACCAGGATGGTGGCAGTGTCAGAAAAGGGAAGGGCAGGTGTGTGAGAGATGTTACCAAGGTACAATTGACGGGCCTTGTCAACAAACTGGGAGGGAGGGAGAGAGACTGGGGAAGGGGGGGGAAGAATGAGGATGATTTTGAGTGTGTGCATATATGTATATATATATATATGACCTTAACAGGAATAGGGAAGTTTGGAAGTTTAGAGGGAAGATGACTTCAGTTTTGGACACGTTGAGTTTAAGATGAGATATCTAGGTCAATATGCCCAATAGGCAGTTGGAGACTGTAGGCTGTAGGTCTGGAGACAGTTTAGGGGAGGACAAATAGACCTGAGGATCATTTGTAGAGAGCTGATAATTGAATCGATGGAGGTTGGTGCGATGGCCCAGGGAAATAACAGAGGGAGAAGGCCCAGCACAGCAAGCTTCTCCATTCCTTCTCACCTGCTTTCCTCCATTCTTGTCATTCTTTCCCTAGGCATTTCTGCCTCTTTGCTTCCCTGACTTCCTTCAGGTCAAGGTACCATCTTCTCTAAGAAGCCTTTTCTGATTTCCCCGTAATGTTAGTACTACCCTCTAAGACTACGTCCAGTTTGCCCTGTATAGAACTTGTTTGCACACAGTTGTTTGCATGTTGTCTTTCCCCATTAGGCTGTGAGCTCCTTGAGAGCAGGGACTATTTTCTTTCTTTCTTTCTTTCTTTCTTTCTTTCTTTCTTTCTTTCTTT